TTTCTGTATCTCGGATACATTTTTCAATGCTGAGGGTATAAATACTCTACGATCCAATCATATCAGAAGATGAATGTGTCTTCTGCTCATTGGACGTGTGTGCCGCCACATGTACGCGCGTGCGTGTGGCAAGTGTCCACACAGAATGACGTTTACATTTTTCTGACGCACATATGGGCACTCACGTGCGCGTGTGCCGTCTAGAGGTGTTTGATGTTTAAAAAAACCCACCCGCACTATGGCTTGTATCGCGTTGTATCCGCTAATACTCACATCTACACATGCCGTGCCGTCGTCTTCCCGGTCTTGATTCAATCAACCTACTGCACACACACTTCATTTACAGTTTTAGGGGTTTAGGGTTTTAGGGTTTGAGGTGTCAATTGAATGTCAAGAGCTTGAGGTGTATGTCGAACAAAAACGAAGGAAATGCTTTAGAAATGTGCACAGGAACAACAGATCGATAGAACACAATCCTAACCACAGCACAACATATACAAAGGGTCCATACATGTGGTATTAACATCACACATGACAGAATAACGGCACAGTACTATATGCAAAGGACCCATACATGTGGCATTAATATCACACATGACAGAATAACGGTAATATTAAAAAGGGTCCATACATGTGTCATTAACATCACACGTGATAGAATAACGACACAATAATACATTCAACGGACTCAAACCTGTGGCATTAACAGAATAACGACACAGTAATATATACAAAGAGTCCATACATGTGGCTTCAATATCACACATTACAGAATAACGGCACAATAATATATACAAGGGACCCATACCTGTGGCATTAACATCACACATGACAGAATAACGGCACAATAATATATACAAGGGACCCATAACTGTGGCATTAACAGAATAACAGAACAGCAATATATACGAAGGGTCCATATATGTGGCATTAATATCACACATGACAGAATAACGGCACAGTAATATATACAAGGAACACATACCTGTGGCATTAATATCACACATGACAGAATAATGGCACAGTAATATATACAAAGTGTCCATACATGTGGCATAAATATCACACATGACAGAATAACGGGTTGACCGGGAAACAAGGCAAGGACACAAAATCACAGTTCACGATCAACCGAGTGACCAACGAACTACAGCCAGGCTATCAAAACGACACGTGCACAACACATCTGGAGACTCTCGTCACACGCCTAGAGGACGAGATATGCCACAGAGAGCAGGTGAGGGGGGCATGTGAACACGCGCACGTGTGTGTATGTTTATGCATGGTGTATGTGTGTGTGGGCACATGTGTGTGTGAGTACATGTATGGGGTATGTGTGTGTGAGTATTAATTTTGTGTGTACTTCTACGCATGCAATACTACTACACTAATCGTGCCTGTATACGTCCAGGTTGAAGCTGTAGGAGTATATTAAGCCAACTCTAGAATCGAGCACACATAACTTAATATACATATAAAAGTGTATTTATATATATACGTACATATGCACTAACATAAATACCTATGTATATAACCATGCACGCGCATACGCAAATACACGAGTACACATAAAATTGACGAACACGTGCAGGTGTTCACATCGAGAGGTAACACTATGTAAGACTATATATTTTTCACTAACGGTAACCAACACCGCCTAATACGGCGTAGGGACTTAATCTAAATTGTGAATGA